TATATTACATATGAAAGAGGAAAAACCTGAAAAAGTCAACAATTTCTCCCAGAAGGCAAATACAACCCCCATCCCTCACAATCCAACACGAGCGAATACGAACCCCCCCCCCCCCCCCTTTATAGCGTCAGCGAAGAAAAATCAGCTTTCAGAAAAATTTTTCTCGAATTAAATACGGTTCCTCTCCCTCGGCGACCAAATACGACCCCCTCCTTTGTTGGGGAATCCTCAATGATGATGTGCCCTGTATGCATACACTCATCTCAACTGTCTCAACCCACTAGAACGTCAATTAATCTGTACAATTGCTTGAGGCTAGAGAGAACCTAACGAAGGTGTTTCAACATTCTCATCCGCACTTCCTCTTCATCTGGCAGGGGAGGGACCTCTGGCAAAGGGGAGGGATCTCTGGCAAATTCTCCTCCATATTTCACCACGTGCACCTACGCTTCCTATCGCGAACAGTGCCTTCAGAAGGAGAATAAATGCTGGGAAAGAATCTCGTTGACGAGTTTGAGTGACTGCGTCATGGGCGGGTCACATGCCTAGTTGACTGTTCGGTGTATTTGGAGGGGTAGACGCGCCGTGGTGGGACCGCGTTTTCAAGAATGCAAACCTAGTGTACGTAAAAAAGATCGATCTCATGGTCAAGCTGTTATGGTCAGAAGCACGGCGTCTCCCGCGGCTAGTGGATTTCGAAGGTCATAGAAGGACTCAATTCCACATGCTTCGCTGTTCCTCTTACGCGAGTGGATGGTATCATAGCTCTCCTCCATTCAAGAACAATCTTGAAAGGCACGTAAAAAGACACTCGTATGGGAGGCCTACGACCCAGCACTGTGGCACCTCTATTTTAGACACCTCTCCTATACACAGGGGAAGGTGATTGAATGGCAAGTTTGACTCAGCCCATGGGATAAACGAGAACGCTTTCTTCAAGCCCCAGGTTTCAGCTCACGGTAGACTGTCTATTCATCTGGTCCTTGTACTTTTCTTCTTCGGTTCTTTCCTTCAGAGTGACGGCGAAGAAACACATACTCTCAACATCAGCTCCTCTTCAAGTTACTTGTGCCCCTGACTTCGTGTTGTCTCCCAATGTGCAACTTACCCATCAATCAACACAGTGAGGAAATCATCGTTTGTATATATTCGTCTCCTTAAAACTGCTAGCAGCAAACAACGCGAAGTACGCTGGTAGGATTGTGCGTATACTTTCATAGTAACAGCATAATACGTTAGTTGAACGACGGGAATGTTCTAACATCTTGAGGTTTGTATGGTGAATCATGAGTGATGTTGCGGCATTCATAACTGCTGCTCACCTGTCGAACTATTCATATTGTTCTTGGCGAGGTGATGGCTTTCCAGGGAGCCGAGTTGGCGTGTGCTTAACCACCCTGTTGCCCACCAATGGAGGCTGGCAGGCGACCCACCGCCGCGTCACTAAGTGGAAGGAGGCGGGTTTAAACGCGCAAAACACCTAGCCCCCCTTGAGCACCCAACTACATGTCTGTTCTGAGCTATTAAAACGGTTATATGTCTGCTCCAAACTCACGTCCTCGCAGGCGTGATACCAGCTTACTGTACGATCAACTAACCTTAATGTGTTTGAGCATGGTCCTGTGAGTTTGATACGGTAGTTGTACCAGATGCTGCCGTTACTGTAAATCTGTAGGAAAATGTTCTTGAACGGGCTAGAATGGATGTTTGCCAATTTACTGTTCACGAAACACGCATGCGGATTCCAAATCTTTTCGAGGATTGTACGACCATCAACGGACATGTTGCTGAACGAAAACATTTGAGAAATAATGTTCCATTAGGCATTCCCCACAATGGATTTTTTTATTTTCAAAATAGAAACACCTGATGGACTTTTATTTTCAAAGTAGAATACAGAGGTTCCTCAGGTCACCATCCCATGGTAACGAGCAAAATGCCGGCACGACCTAACTGCGCCCTTCCTTTTCGTAGAGTATATAAAACATTGGAACTATGGAAAAGTGCTAATCACCAAGATATTATAAATTAACGATAGCTCCCTTATAAGTGCTCGAAAAGCAAAAGCAGTTCAAAGTGCCTAAAAAGACCAAGCATCTGTAGGATCTACTTCAGACACACCTTTTGCACGGGTTCAAATGAGCGTAAGCAAGTGCTGGATCAGTCCATCGTTCTGTCACATAGATGTCCAATTCAAATTCTGAGGTAATCTCGATGATTTTTGACACCTCTTGGACCCATATCTATAAATGATACTATGATCAGGTTCAACGCACTTCAAATCTCATTTATAATTACTCAAAAAGGCGATATAAATTTAATTAGAGCTCCAGCGTTCGATCACCGATGCAATACTCTGGCATAACTGTTTGAAGTCGGTGGGGGACTGGTGTTAGGGTAATTGCTTTACGCCCGTAAACCAAGGTCCGGTATATAAAGTTTATTGCTTAAAGTTTCGAGCGCTTGTCGCCTTCGTCAGAGACTGGAAAAGTCAAAAATCAAAGTTGAAAACTACCGAATCATTTCAACTCAGATAGAGTTAGTTCCCAGACCAGTAGATCCGAAAAGTCATAGAACACAACCATAACGACTCACTTGATGCCACGACCGGTTGCTGTTTGCACGACCACCGCCGCCTAAAATAGACGCCCGTCGGTCGCTTTCAGCCTGACTCATTGACCGCTCATATCGTTGATGCCAATGGCAACTGAACCCACACAGGTCAGCAATACGGCGGGCGAGCTCGTTTTTGTTGATGTGTCAGGACATTCGTCCTTCTATGCTGTCTGAGGATTTTTAGCCGCCGAATCCAAAACGTATCAAGTTTTGCGCGCCGAAGTCTGTGGTTCTCGCATCAAAATCCTAACCGTCACCTCAAACTCCGCGCCTCCATGGCGCTGAACCCGATGACTACCCAGGGGGACTCTTGTCTTGATCGCCTCAGGCTATCTAGTGTTCCTTCACCCTGGAGCACAGGTTGTCAGTCTCCCGATGTGCTCGTTCCCCAGCTAACTCATCGTTGCATGTTATCAGGAGATGACACCTGTTCATGCAGGTCCGTCCTCCGCTCAGGCGAAGAAATACGACATGTCACACAATGTCCGGGGTCGGGCGAGCGGTATCCGATGCATTACCCGCGCTTGCGAATCAGAGCTGCTTTGAGGCTCGCAGGGATCTCGACCAACCGAACCATGTTGTCGAGACCACACCTGCGCAAAGACAATCTCACAGCAGCGCTGATTGCATCACTCACGAAGGGTAAGCAAAATGGTACTTTCTCCCAAATCCTCGCGGTCACAGAGAATTTGTTGACTCCTGAGTGGTGTTGGTCTAGGGTTATGCCTTCTTGGAGCTTAGCCATTAGAGAGGCTGTATTTTACGAGTAACTCCAGGGACATCTTCTGCTTCATTCTCACTGAAGGACCATTTGGCTGTCAAACATAGCTCCTGTGAGAGCCGTTTGGGTCCCTAGAAGGCATGGAAAGAACCATAGGACTTCGGCCCGAAAAAACTTTGGAAGCGTTCTGTCATTAGCCGCGCGACCTAAAAAATCCCAGAATGAATAGAAAGGACGAATGCCTGACCATCACAAACGAGCTCGCCCCGTTTGCTGACCTGTGTGGGCTTCAGTTGCCATCGGCATCAAGTAGAGCGGTCAGGTCAGCTGAAGCCACCGACGGGGAGTCTATTTAGCGGTGGTCTCAAACAAGAACCGGTCGTGCATTAAAGGTGAGTCGTTTGTGGTTGTGTTCTATGACTTTCTGGATCCTACTGGTCTGGGACTAGACTTATCTGAGGTTTGAAATGATTTCCGAGGGTAGTTTCACTTTGATTTTTGACTTTTTCCAGGCTCTGGCGATAAGGCGCCGAAACGTTAGCCAATAAAACTTTTATACCATCTTGGTTACGGCTAAAGCAATACCCTATAGGAATTTAATTAGAGCATTCGCGATTACCCGGCTTTAGGGCACATCATTGGTTGGTCCCCCTTTTTCGGGGTTGGTGCGACCCTCCCTCCTCTCGGAGTCGAGCCGTCGAGCAGGGGATATATAGTACGGATGAAACAAGAAAATCCCTAAAAGTCAACCACCGCTCGCTCGCCAAAACGTAAATATGCAACCCCCGCTCTCCCAACAATGAGCAAGTACGACCCCCCCCCCTACAACGTCCGTGAAGCGAGAAAAATCAACTATCAAAATAAATTTTTCTCAGCCCAAATACGACCCCCTCTCCTGGCGGCCAAATACGACCCCCCTGTTGGGGATTCCCCAACAACGATGTGCCCTGCCCGACTTGCGTATCCATCGTAGCACTAGGTGGCGCGGTCCGTAATCGCAGTGTATATGCCGTTTTCGCGACTAGAGACTACTTGGTAAAAGCGCAACTGTTTTACGACCGTAACTTAGCTTCGCCTTCGTGAACTGGATCCACCCCTACCTTTTCGTATCTTGGTCGCTAAATATCTCTTCGCTAAATCATCTTGTGCTTCTTTTTCCTACACTCATATCTCTATCCCTCTACCTCTATCTCTCCTCCACATACTCATCAGGGTACAGCATCCTTGTGTGAAAGCACATGGGGGGGGTCGTATTTGGGGTAAGACAAATTTATTTTGATAGTTGATTTTTTCTTGTGGAAAAGTGGGGGTCGTATTA